CTCATTAATATATACCGAAGAAAAATTGTTATTTAAAATCACTGCCTTTTCCTGGTCTTCATTAACTAACAGACCCATCTCTGTTTCCAGTGTACCTACACTTTCATTTTTTGTTTTTTTTAGAATTGATGTACTTGGAAAAAATTAGGGGGTTGGTTTTGCATTCTTTGGCTAGCATTTTCTCATTTTCTAGTTTAGCCACTTTAATTGCCTTTTTGCAAGTAGTATTGGCTTCCTTATATAGGATGCCTCTGATTTTTCAGATTTAAATGCCCTTTTCTTAATCTCTTGTTTTACTTCTCTACTATGCCACATTGGTTTCACTGTGTTTCTTTTATATTTATTACCCAATAGTACATACTGAGAAATGTACCTTTCTAATATTTTTTGAATAGCTTCCATTTATCCTGTGACTTTATGGAATTTTATTATGCATACTCAAAGCACCATGTCAACTTCACTGCTTTCAAGTGGTCATAATGTCTGGAGTCTGTGCAGAATTTCACTATGAAACACAGCACAAACGGAGTTAAACGCCTCTGCTGCTGGAGGTGAAACTCCATCTACGGCCACATTATTGGGACGTCATTAGCCAGCCTCGAACAAAATAGATCTGACAGCCAATGGTGGTGTAGCGGGCCCTGGGTAACCCGGTTGGCTACCTCCGCTTGTAGAACAGTGAGAGTCTTATTTTCCCCCAGTAACTAGATGACACACAGCTCCAGGGGTACAACAACCACTTTATTGGCCACACTCAGCTTTAAACTTTCCCCATGCAAGGGGTGGATCATACACAATGCCAATATCCCCTCCTAGGGTCCACCCCGTCCCAGGGTTCTTTGTGGGGTACAGGAACTCTAGTTCCTTTGTCCCCAGTTTTCGACTTTCCATAGCAGGAGGCCTTCTTCCCAGGGTCATCTATACTTGGGAGTTCCAGCGTGGGAAAAACTCCTGCCTTCTGTGCTCCCAGGCACAGAAACCCCACCAAACCACTATTGTCCTCAAAGAATGTACCCAGCCATCTCAGGGACCCCCAGAACGGTAACCATACCGAAACCTATCAGTTCGCGGGGCCTCTGATGAAACCAGGCAAGGGAAGTGTCTTCTTTCGGGATACGAACACTCCCCCTGGCCAACGTCCGTCTGTAAAAACAGCAGCCACCCAGGGGAGCACTAATTACTTCCCTTGCAGTTTCACACTTATGTTGCAAGTTGCCAACGTTCTAATTAATTGGTGTGAACACTACAAGGGGCACTGGGAAGGTCCTTGTTTGGGAGCTGAACGAGGTGGGAAGCAATCCGAGGATTCCCTTGCGGTTTGTGGGTTTTAAACCTCATTACCAAGGTGCAAACTTTCTAACGAGGTGTGAACATTCTAAGCAAACATAAATGGGGTATTTAGGTGGTCCCATTCTGGAGGCGAACAGAACCTGTTCGTATGAAGCCTCCTGAATGGGTAGCATGTAAAACATAAGAATAAAACACAATATAATGGAAAAACACGAGGAAGGACACAGCAATTCACGGACCGGCGACACACCTACCTACCCAGCCCATTCTCCCACCAGGATACGGGAGAGCTAGGCCATTCCAATGCAAATTCACCATGTCCTCAAGCTCACATTTTTAGATATTTTGAAAAGTTTGGTTTCTAAAAAGGACCACCTGAGGTATATGCCTATGAAAATTTGCAGTGAAAAAGTAATGATGGTCCAGGCACTCAAGTTCAATCCAGTGGGCAGATTTGTTGGAGCAAAATCTAAACAACATTCTGGCCCACAACCGGGCCTTTGTGAAGCTTGATAAAGGCCTTGTTGTGGGACGAAACGTTGTTTAAATTTTGCTCCAATAAAGCTACCCCTGTACTGAACTTGAGTGCCTGGACCATCATTACTTTTTGCAAATCACATTGTGAGGACTGGCCAACCTCAGGACCGGTTGCATCCTGGGATCCAGAAGAGTGCGTTATCCATATTGATAAACATATGGAAATGTGCAGGTTCATAGCTTCTATATTTACAAAGTTCTAGTTGCGATTTTGACTATTTTTTCCACAATCTTGCTAAATTTAACATTCAATTGTTAAAGAAAACAAAAAAAGTGTTTTTGAGAAAATGGTCACCAATATACAGATTACAACGGCTTCAAAAGACTTTTTCATAACCTAGGCAAGAAATATCTGAAACGGCTATTTAGAGACTTTACAAAACAGTTTTTTTTAAAAACTGTCAAAATCACTGTGGCGAAACTAGCCACTTCAGACTGGATGTGTATTAATGTGTTGCTGTGACTTTAAGACTGTAGAACCAAGCATGTACCTATTTTTTTCATGTTATGCGAACGAGAGCATTCGTATGCTTGCGGCGGGAAAGCCACCAGCATTCATACAGTAGTTTCACAAACAGTGAATTTCAACACTGTTCGTGAAACGAATAAACTACCAAATGAGAGACCACACACACAGGAGGCATCCAGTGTAGACGTGAAATGAGTTTGTATTTCTTTCTCCTTCCCCCGTTTGTTGATTTTCACTGTGCATTTGCCGATTTTGTTACTATTTTTGTTTTTACAGATGTAACATGAAATAAAGAGAAGATTGCTTTAGTACTCCTATTTTCCATATTGGTTTCTAAGGGTGGAGTGCAATACGTGGTTATATTGTTATGTTTTGTATTAATTTGGGTTTCCCTTCTTTGCACCCCCACAATTTTTGTTTACTAGAACCTTTCAGCATGCCAAATTTAAAAAAGTAAAAGATTGCGATGTTGAAAATTGCCTCATCAATGGTTGATTTCATATGGAATGCTCCAATAGGGCACTAGAAAGTATCATGTGTTTTGGTCATTTTTTTCAAAGTGATGGTGTGGGGTTCAGACAAGCAGAGCAAGATTACTCTAACCAAAAACAGTGTTTCAACCACACAATTTGCCAGTTTTAAACATAACGTGAAATCCGCTTTGGTTTTCTTACATTTCACACTTTATAGAATAACCCTTAACATTTTTAATCTACACTGTGAATGACCTGATGCATGATAAGATCATACTGTATAGCAAAAGATTTGCCACATTCATAACATTTAAAAGGTTTTTCTTCAGCATGGATCATTTTATGTGTCGCAAGCTGTGAGGCTTGGATAAAACACTTGCCGCACTCAGCGCATTTATATGGTTTTTCTCCTGTGTGAATCCTTTTGTGAGACACAAGATGTGCTCCCTGAGCAAAACATTTCCCACATTCATCACATTTATATGGTTTTTCACCTGTGTGAACTCTTTTATGTGACGTAAGTTGTGCAGCCTGGATAAAACATTTCCCACATTCAATGCACTTAAATGTCTTTTCTCCCTTGTGAATCTTCTGATGTCTGATTAAATCATACTTTAGTATAAAACATTTCCCACATTCATTGCACTTAAAAGGTTTTTCTCCTGTGTGGATTTGCTGATGCCGAATGAGAACTGGCTTTTGGCTAAAACATTTCCCACATTCATTGCATTTAAATGGTTTCTCTCCTGTATGGATCTGCTGATGCTTGTTAAGATCAAACATTTGGCTAAAACATTTCCCACATTCAGTGCATTTAAGAGACTTTTCTTCAGTGTGAATCAGTTTATGTGATGCAAGTTGCGTGTCATACATAAAACTTTTCCCACATTCTTCACATTTAAATAACTTCTCTCCTCTGTGAGTCTGCTGATGCCTATTTAGGACAGGTTTTTGACTGAAACACTTTCCGCACTCAGTGCACTGGAAAGGTTTTTCTCCTGTGTGAGTTAGTTTGTGTGAAGTAAGATGTGCTCCCTGAGCAAAACATTTCCCACATTCATCACATTTATATGGTTTTTCTCCTGTGTGTACCCTTTTATGTGACGTAAGTTGTGCAGCCTGGATAAAACTTTTCCCACATTCATTGCATTTAAATGTCTTTTCTCCCTTGTGAATCTTCTGATGTCTGATTAAATCATACTTTAAACTGAAACATTTTCCACATTCTGTGCATTTAAATGGTTTTTCTCCTGTGTGAATCTGCTGATGCCGAATTAGAACATGTTTTTGGCTAAAACATTTCCCGCATTCAATGCATTGAAATGGCTTTTCTCCTGTGAGAATTGCCTGATGTATAACAAGATTTGACACTGGAGTAAAATTCTCCCCATACTCAGATGATAACAGTGGTTTCTCTTCTCCATAATCAATCTCGTGAATAACTAAATCAGACTCAGAAAATATAACCTTTTCCATTTCAGAAGAATCGTGATGGTTGCCAAACTCAGAGTTACTATTTAAATATGGTGCATACCCAGGCCAGTTCATTATTTCCTCTGTGTTGAGTATACTTTGGGGAGATTTAACCATTTTATCTTTGAAACATGTATTAGATTTTCTAGATTCATTTATGGACTTATTTGAAGATGATTTGGGTGAACCTTCGACATAAGTAAATGTGTCATCTTCCGGAGACTGTTCTCGTATAATATAATTATCCGGACTCCTGGTATTTACTTTGCCACTCACAGCCGATACATCTTTGTTAAAAGTAGATGGATATTCTCTATGGTCTGTGATTGTATAGTCAGTGGGATTTCCTTCTCCCCATGAGACTGATTTTACCTTAATGTGAGTAGATTTGTATTCTGTTGGTGTATAAGATTTGTCGTCATTTCCTTCTTCCCACGAGGCTGTTTCCTCTTTAATATGATATTCTGTCTGTGGTTGTTTGGTGGTTATAGAAATGTTTGTGAAATTTACATTTTCACTCAACTGAGGATCTTGAGAATTGAATGATGCAGATTTAATTTGTCTTTTCCTCGTTTTTTTTACTTGCTGTGATATGTCTCCGCTAGCTTTACTTACAGATCCATCTTCAATTCCAAAATTGGGCCAAAAACCAAGGATGTGAAATCCATCATGTACAGATGCATCTGTTGGAAGAAAATGTACATTAATATGTAATGGATAGTTTACTTCAACATAAAGTACATCAAAGACCTTTGTAAATATTCAATGCATTGGACATATTAAATATTATAAACGGACTGTGGTGATTAAACCTTATCTTACCCAGTTGGTGGTGGTACTCCATCACATCTTTGTAGAGATCCTTGTGTCCTTCTATATAGTCCCACTCCTCCATGGAGAAATACACCGTGACATCCTCACACCTTATAGGAACCTGATACACACACAATGATACAGTCACCATCCAGACACATCCCTTGGTTTTACTGCATAATGTCCCATTCCCAGCAGCCTCACCTCGCCAGTCAGCAGCTCAGTGATCTGATTGGTCAGTTCCAGGATCTTCTGATCATGTTTTCCCTCATGAATCATGGAGGTAGGTGGCAGCATGGTGCTGGAGTTCCTGGTCCCACAGGATCCTTCCTTTACAAGGGGAATGTTTTTGGATGAGATATGGTCACTGGGCTTCTTCACAACCACATGATCCTAAATATAGAGATGGACAAGAAGAAGGGCAAGGTCATTTCTTTTCTAAGACAGATGTACGCCCACTTGCTGAATTCTTCTTCTGCTATTCTATCATTGTTCCTCTTCAATTTAAAAAATAGGATGACAGTCTGCAGCCTCTTATTATTACTAGCATTTATATATTCTGTTTTACTACAACAGAAAATGTATATTTAAAGGTGCCTTGTCTATATTAATGGATACAATGTTTTACATTAAAGTGTGTTGTTGATGAATTAAGTAATCAGAGTCGTTTTGTATTTGTATATATTTCATATATATGTATATTTAAAAAAAAATAAAAAATCATTGAGGCCACCCAAAAGTAGGATTTAGTTAAATGTAAGCAATGAGAGAAACAGTCAGATAGGAAAAGGACAATTGCATATACACCTCCCGTGCCCAGCTGTCCTGTCTGTAGTCACTTTTCTACTGGTCGGTAAGAACCTACCTCGTACAGGGTATGTACAATACAATAAGGTTCTTCCAAAATATCACAGAGTTTCATTTGCCAATTGGATAGCATGCACATACCGACAACTTTCCTGAGTTTCACGTGCCACGACGGCTTGTGGATGGAAAAAACGAACAAATTCTGTACAATATGTTTGAGCTGCCAAACTACAAGATAAAAATTGAAGTGGTCTGAGTGCAATTTCACAGTCCCACATAGTCCTGCACCAAAAATCATTGCAGTTCCAGAGAAACTTCAATAATTACACTGCAGGACTAAGACGGCCCCTAGTCTGTCGTAGTTGGCTAATTGACAGCCACTTGAAGTACTTCCTGCTTGCTAGGAGACTTTCGGTCACTTAACTGACACTGGATGTCCTCACGCTCTACATGAGCACATCCAGTGTCAGTAAAATCCACATATGAAAGCATTGCATCAATGCTTTTCTAAGGGGAGAGTCTAATGTGCCCTGCACGCATGTGCATAAGGCCACCCATAAAGATTCACATCGGAGGAGGCAGAGCGACGACCCAGCGCCGAGGGACATCGATGCTGGAGTCAGGTGAGCAAAGAAAGGGTTCATTAAATGCGAGGTGAGGGGGCAGAGGAGATCAGAGGGAACTATGGTGTAAGGAATCCAGCTTTGTATGCCTTCCATAATATTACATTATAGAATCCCTTTAAGTTTGTGTTGCGTTGTAGCTTACATAAAAATCGTGGAACCACCCATTAATGTAAACGCTGCATTTTCAGTTGCTAATATAAAACCATGGTTTCTGGCCCTGGTCTAAGACCAGTGGTGTATTTTGAAATGGTGCTGCCCTACGCTTCACAGATCTTGGGCACCCCCTAATTTGAATTTACCCGCCCCTTTCTGCCAAGGATCACACCGCTTCCTGCTAACTTACACACATTTTGACTGACAGACATACACTCACGGACCAGCACACACTCTCAGATACACTAGCATACACACACACGGATTTGACAAAATCGGACAGACGTATACAATCATTCATACACTCACTGACAGACACACATAAGCACTGGCAACCAGCCAGCTTTTGGGCCACCAGGTGACAAGGCAAACAAAGTATTAGCCTGGGCATTTGGGGGAGGTGTTTCTTTTGCTGCCCCCTGGAAAGTGCCGCCCCAGGCAAATGCCTTGTTTGCCTCATGATAGATACAGCCCTGGCTGAGACCCAAATTAAAACGTCCATACTATTTCTATGGCTCCAGCTGATAATCGGTTTTAACATTTAAACTACCCTTAATACAATAAATGCCACATGACCCCCCATACGCAAAAAAGAAAATACAAATAAAATTCACCCTTTACCTCCAGCAGCAAGTCCCTTCTCTACGCTAATCCTACTTCGCCCTAGGGAGACCATAATTGACAACGGTCTATATTTCCATTTGAACGAAACAGGCACATGTGCAACTATTTCAACGAATGTGCCACAATCAAATGCAGTGATTTCACAGCAATTATTGGGTTGAGGAACAGTATAGGCAAAAACAAAAAAGTTACCTGCACAGAATGAAAATTCAGATAGAGGTTTTTAGTGCCACTGCAATGGCTCCATTAAAGGGACACAATGCCAGCTTAGTTAGGCAGTTTTGGTGTATAGATCGTAGCCCTGCAATCTGACTTCTCGATTCTCTACCTAGCTACAACTTCCCTAGCCTAACCACTTTGGTAATAGGTATCTATTCTCTCACATATAATGTTCTTACATGATCACTGCAAGTAAGAGTTAGGTAGACCCTGATTTATAGGTTATCACGCACAAAAAACAAAACATATCAACACGTATTAGAAAGGTAATTTAATTTAGGAATTATTACTTGGCTTTGGTCCCCAATGACATATGTGAAGGTAGCATGCCTGGAATTGTGTGAGGGGTATATCTGGCCTATTTCAAAGCCCTCCCCAGTTACAAATAAATGTTTTACAGACATTTGGAGCCTCACCCACTGCTCCCTATAATAATATTTTTTTTTCAGTAGGTGGGCTCCCTTTATTCAAGCACATTCATTCAGTTTTGGCATTTCTCTTTGTGACGAAGTGCCCTTCACCACTTGTGCTTGGAGGGGACTACTGGCTAGCCTCCTGCCTTCCGACTATGGCCCCTGTGCGGATAGCTGTATTTTCCCCTGCAGAAAGGTTTATTTGTGTATTTCTGCCAGGGCGTTTGAGACTTTCAGTATGGTAGTAGTGCTACCCCAGATAGCTATGCCATGGAGCCCATTCGTGTAACAAAAGACTATGGAAAAGAATTTTGCTCCATGGCAATTGAACTGTATTTAGGTGATTTGAGCGCCATTCGGTAATAATGTGCGCTCAGATCTAAGCTATCTGGGGATATGTTGCAAGTATATGTTTTAGGTAGTAATTGTAGCATTGTGTAATTTTATGTCTTTTTGTAACCTTGTGGTTAATGGAGTCTTGCCTCTGTCCTGGGAGATAATTTGATTACTTCCCAATTATCTCCAGGATAGAGAGGAGGGATTGTGATGTCACTGTGGGAGTGTTTTGTTTGTATTGTCTGTGATTGGCTAATATTCAATATGTGTCCCATTGTTCCATCAGGTCTCCTAGGGGAGTGTCCACCTGGTGGGCACTTGCATGAACACCGGGCAGGTAGCCCTCAATAAACCAGACCTACTTGCACCTTTTTTGATGCCTTGGCTCATGCTTGGGGGAAGGGATACCTACACTCTGGGGATTGCTATAATCAATTACTCCCTAGAGTAAGCTCTTGTAAGAGCTTGATTTGTTCCTGCTATGCTCCCTTGATTTAGGAGAGGTTCACCCATTGGGAGCTGGATCCTGGTCGTGGATCCAGGGTGGGTGAGAGACAGCAAGACCCCGGTGCAGCTGCATCACTGGAAGTGGGTCCCACAGTGCTGATGGTGTCGGTTGGAGTGCTCTGAGTCCTCGACAAGCAGTAGGAGCATTGATTGGCGGAGGTTTTGAAGAACAACCAATCAACACATTACAAAACAGTTAACACTCACATTCATTACATCAGAAATCCTCCCCTCTGCCTGTGATACAATTATCTCAACACAATAGACTAACTTAATTATAACAGGCAGGAAAATACAGTATTATAAAACATATCACAGGGACCCCAAAACATGCAATTACCCCATAAAAATATATCCTCGGAACCGGGGAATCTGGGTGAACCAAATATCCAAAATTCGCCCAGATCCGTTCAGTAGTTTGGAAGATACGGTTTAATGCAGATTCCGCAGAACATATACAGGCTATATGAAAAGTAATTACTGTTAAATCTGTCCCCTGTTCTGTAGTTTAAAACTACTGAACGATGTCTTTTTTTTTTGACAATCTAGTTTTTATTGGAGTTTAAGTTTGTTGTTACATAACACAGAATAAATACAGCTGACAATGAGTTGTAAGCATGTTGTGTGCCTCAATTAAGCATACATTAGCTTTATAGTGACCCTCCCTCCCTGCCCCCGCCCCCCTGCTCAGTGGTATCACAGCTTTTCTTCTGTCTTTTCCTTTTCTTTTTCCCTTCCATCCCCCCTCCCTTCTCCTCCCTTTATAGACTAGTGTTTGGCTTGCAGCGTGTGTTTCTAGATCTACTATATATTCTTTCATTACGTCGTTTACTTTGGTCTAGTGTGTTAATCTCAGTGTCTGGTCTTTCGTTGGCCATGGGTTATGTCCGCCCCATGTCTTGCTCGTCAAGCCATGAGGCGTATGCGGCTGCCTAGGAAAGGTTGATGCGGTCCCTGTGTCTTGCCTCCGTGTTGTTGTGGCGATCAAGGTGTATGGGCTTTACTCTGTGGTGTGGGCAGCCTATAGTATTTGCTATACGTTATCCTTCCTTGTGCGTTTTAGTTGCAATTTTCTAGTTTGTATCTCCTTCGATAGTTTTAGAGCACGTATCAACAGGTGGCCTCACAGTGTTGGGGCTTTGGCTAGCCATTTGCCATCAGCTTGGTCAAGCCGTCTGGGCTTGTATGTCGGGCATGAGCATGGGTCTGAGTGTCCAGTGTAGTCTACCTAAATGCATTGGTTGACCTATGATGGTGGTTTTGTGATTACCGTGGTTCCTTGTGTCGTTGCGGACTCGTCTTTCTGGCCGTTTGTACGTCTCTCCCTAATTGTCTGTGTGTTCCCCTATGTTTGTTGGGGTGTGGGTTGTGTTGTCTAGAGTATGTCTGCACCCGCCCCTTCTCCCCCCCCCCCCGCTGCCGCCAGAGCAAGGCAGTCGGGTACCCCCTGACCAGCCGGGGTCTCATCTTCTCTGGGATTCGTCTGTGTTACTGGGTCCGGCCCCAACCCCTAGTTGTCTCAGACCCATCCCCCCCGCTTCCAAGTTGGGTATCCCTTACTGCTCTGGCTTTTCCTATTCTTGTTCTCCCCCCCCCTCCTTCCTTGGGGTGAACGTCCCAAAGTCGCTCTGGGGTTTGCTCGTTTTATCTGTCCATCTATTAGTGGTTGATTGGGGTGTCTGCGTTATCCATGTGTTGTGTGTACTCTAGTTCTTGTAATCCATGTCCTCTGACTCATTGTTTCCGCAACCCTGATGTGGTCTCGTGCTGCACGTCGATTGTCCTGTCAGTTATGTATTTTACGTGTGTCTCCTGTCTTGTGTTGAGGGGGAAAGGGAACTAGGGTCGGGGGAAGAAGCGAAAGATGCACTTGGGTTTTCGTCGCCGCGGCAGTCCGATGAGGCCGCCTGCACCGCTACAGCCACGGTGCCCCCCCCCCCGCACGCTGCTCCGCATCGTCCTCTTGACCATATAGTCCATCCACGGAAACCAGGTTGTGGCGCATTTTTCCATACGTCCCTGCAGGGAGGCAGTCATCATTTACATGTTATATATATTTTCCACCCTGTCGACCCATTGTTGGAAGGTCGGCGCTGTGCGGCTTTTCCAGTGTGTAGGTATTAGTGTTTTCGCTGCTGTGAGCAAGTTTATGGTCAGACCCTTTTTGTATTTCTGCAGCGGTGTTTGCGTGTGGTTGAGCAGCATCGTCAGAGGCTTCAGCGGTAGGTGCGCGTCAGTGATGCCTCTAATTGTTTGGTGGATCTGCCTCCAGAATGGCTCGATAAGTGAGCAAGACCACCAGATGTGAAGCCTCGTGCCCAGCTCTCTTCCACATCTCCGGCATTCCCCGGATATAGTCTTGTGCACATGGCGTTGGATATCTGGGGTCCTGTACCAGCCAGTCAGTATTTTATAATTACATTCCTGATATTTGGAGCATATGCTCCCTCTGTGTGTCAGTTGGAAAATCTTGTCCCATTCGGAGTCCGTGAGTGTCGTTCCCGTCTATTGCTCCCAGCGTTCCGTGAAGCCCAGGGGGCTCCTGCCTTCCTGCTGCTGAAGTATGGCATACAACGTTGATATTCCGTGCATGAGGTTCCGCCTGTCCGTGCATATCTGTTCCAAAGGTAGCAGCGGTCGGTGTATGTGATCCTTTCCCGGTAAGGAGATGTAATACGTTCGAAGTTGATAATAGCGGAATTCATCCAGTCTTGTCTGTCTATGGTCTGGTACCAAATACTTTAAAGGTTTAAGTGTGGAGTCAGTGCACCATTGCCGCAGGTATGTCCAATCCGACGCCGGAAAGTTCTTTAGGTCTGCAGGGTTAAGCCCACTCGCCATTTTTGGGTTGTTGGTTATGGGGGTAAGCGGGTTTGGTGCCGTAGTGAGTTGTTTGGCGTATCTAATCTTACACCATACCCACAGTGTGGAGTCGATCATCGGGTTTCCTGTGCGCATGTCTCCCAGTACTGTGCCACCTAGCCACAGCAGGGAGGGGATCCGTCCCTGTGCCTGCTGCATCTCCATATCCACCCATTGTTTGGTGGTCGGATTTGCGTGCCAGTCCACCAATCGGCAGAGGTGTGTCGCCTGATAGTAGGAGAGTACCGACGGTAGTCCCGTTCCTCCTGCGCTTTTCGGCCGCTCCAAGATCGTCCTACGGATTCGTGCCGGTCCCTGGTTCCAGACAAATTGCCGTATGGTGGTTGCTAGGGATTGGAAGAACAACTGCGGGATAGTCGTAGGCAGCGTCTGGAACAAATATAGAATTCGTGGCATAACGTTCATCTTTATAGCATTAATCCGCCCAAACCATGAGATGTACTGAGATGTCCATTTTTTCAGGTCCCTTTGTAGGAGCGTGAGGAGGGGTGTAAAGTTCAGTGGATATATGTGCTTGAACTCGTTTGGCAACCAGATTCCCAGGTACCTGAATTTCGTCTGGCAAACTCTGAACGGGAAGTGCATTTGAAGGTGTTGCGACATGGCGGTGTCCAGGGCCAACGGCATCGCTTCTGATTTATCCAAGTTGAGTGCGAGGTTGGAGACTGCGGAGTACTCCCTGAATGCTTCCAGTAGGTTCGGCATTGAAACCCGGGGTTGGTCTAGGAAAAAAAGCATGTCATCCGCATAAGCCGCAACTCTGTTCTCCCCGGCCAACTCGGAACCCCGTAATACCCCCGTCCCGTCTGACCGCCTCCAGGAATGGTTCTAGAGTGAGGGCAAACAGAAGGGGGGACAGTGCCATTGCGAATTATACTAGAAACAGTATAAAAGATACATAAAACCAGAAGTGGATTGTGAAAGAACTGACCGTTAGAAAGTGCAGGCAAGCCACTATATATAGGGATGCACTCCCTGTATCCCTTAACCAAATGTGCAAAAAACAAAACTGTATATACTATACAGAAATAGGGCGCCACTTATCACCAAATATAAATACTGGATATAGTTACCCTCCAGCGAGCAAGTGAGGATATTCACATAAAAAATATAAAAAGAGAAAACATCATAGTGCAAACTTTTAATTCAAAGTGATAAAAAACATATAGATAAAAACACTCACAAACAGTGTGGCACAATTGACAAAATCAATATGTGCTAAAGTGATTGAATGTAATATGTTGGATTCATATATTGCAACTACATGCACATATATATATTTTTTTCTTTTTTCTTACTTTTTTATTTACTTTTTTCTATATTTTATATATATATATATATATATATATTATATGTCCCATTAGAATCTTCTCTATATGTGCATCTAACATATAGTAGCACTGGAACACACTGGTTTCTTCTTCTTTATAAGTTCCAATGTTGTCCCTGTTGCTTAGAATAATAAAGTTTTTTGCTTGCGTTCCATGGTGGAACGCACATGTGCGCCGGACGCCGGCGGATGGTATGTCATCACGTCGGCGCCCGGTCGGGCATGCGCAATTGCACAGAAAGGAGCCGCCACCCAGGTGCACAGATGCTGTCCGAACCCCATGTGCTGCAGAGATTCCATAAGAAACGTCCAGTCCACGCGGTCGAACGCCTTTTCGGCGTCCGTGGAAAGGAGCACCAGCTCTCGCCTGTTGGCCTTCACCGTGTGGATCACGTTTAGGGCTCGAATTGTATTATCCCGGGCCTCCCTCCCGGGAATAAAACCAACCTGGTGTATGAGGTCGGGCACCACCTGGGCAACCCTGAGCGCCAAGGCCTTGGCGAATACTTTCATATCGGCATTCAAGAACGAAATTGGCCTATAACTTGCGCAATTAGTGGGATCTTTACCTTCTTTCGGGATGATTGCAACTGTTGCTCTCAGTGTGTCCGTAGGAAACTGTCCTCCCATACGCAATGAGTTGAAGCCCTCCAAGAGTTTCGGCAGTAGGATTGCCTTGAACGAGCGTAAGTACGTTACGGGCAGGCTGTCCGGACCAGGTGCCCTGTGGGGTTTTGCCGCTTTCAGCGCCCCTGCTAGCTCCTCAAGTGTCAGGGGTTGGTCCAGTCTGGCTTCTTGTTCCGCGGTCAGCCTGCGGGCAACATGTCTGCCCAGGTAGGCGGCAACTCGTTCCTGGTGACGTCGTGTCTTTGAATCCGATTGGTTTCTTGTTTGATCATACAGTGCAGCGTAATATTTGTGGAATGCGTTCAGGATGCCTTCGGGGAGATGAGTGACCGTTTGCCCCTGAGTGCGAATCTTATGTATGTGTTGCGCCCTTCGCTTCTCCTGAAGCATTCTCGCAAGCAGTTTGCCGCATTTGTTGGAATGCTCATAAAAGAACCTGGCTGTTTTTCGCGCGGTTTGGAGAAATCCCTGGGCGAGTTTGGTGCAGAGCTCTCTACGCGCCTCCATTAGGAGGAAATAAGTCTCGTCGTCCAGCGTGCGTTTATGTTCCTGCTACAGTTCAGCCACTCGTCTGGACAGACGAATTGTGTGTGCAGCTCGCTCTTTTTTGCACTTGGTGCTGATGGCTATGAAGTGTCCCCGGATGACACACTTATGTGCCTCCCAGAGCGTTAGTGGTGCAATTTCCGGTGAGCTATTGGTCGTGAAATAGTTGGTCAAAGTGTGTGCTACCATGGTAAGCAGTTCAGGATCATCTAGGAGGGTCTCATTTAGTCTCCATTGCCTTTCTGTGGGTTTGAAAAGTGGGGCACTCGTATGTGCTATCATCGGTGCGTGGTCAGATTGATCTATGATCCCTATCTCCGAGCCATGCAATAACGACAGATATTCTTGTGCGTGGAATATGTAGTCTATTCGGCTGTAGTGTGCATGGACGGTCGAGTAATAGGTGTAGTCTCTGTCTTCAGGATGACCCGCTCTCCTGCAATCTACCAATTCCATTTTATGCAGTGAGCGTAGCGTTGCCCGTAGGCAGTGTGTGGGGATTTCTGTGTACAAACAGCACAGTGTAGAAAAGTCAAAACAGTGTCTGTGAGTTAAAATGGCCGCCATCCATTGTTCTCACCATGTGCTTCATCCATTGTTCTCACCATGTGCCTCTGATACATGAAATGGTGGCCACCCAGTAACTCCACAGTTTGCCTGGTAGTCGATCCAGCCGAACCAACAGATGAAACACATGGGGAACAGTGCATCAAACGAAGGGAATCATAAAAAATATGGACAATAGTCATATTTGTGCACAATCTCCAGTTTTGTCACAGGGCACAAATAGTGTTATCAAATGCCATATATCCCAGGGCCATAGTCAGAAGGTAGGAGGCGGGCAAGCAGCCCCCTCCAAAAACCGGGGGCTAGGTCACTTTCGCTACACTGACACTACCCAGAATCCCACACCTCTGGAGTCAGCAGGTAGATGATCTCCATGGTGGCATTACCCAGCAACCCTCACCTCTCAAGTCAGCAGGTAGATCTCCATAATGACATTACCCAGAATCCCTCACCTCTCCAGTCAGCAGGTAGATGATCTCCATAATGACATTACCCAGAATCCCTCACCTCTCTAGTCAGCAGGTAGATGATCTCCATAATGACATTACCCAGAATCCTTCACCTCTCCAGTCAGCAGGTAGATGATCTCCATAATGACATTACCCAGAATCCCTCACCTCTCCAGTCAGCAGGTAGATGATCTCCATAATGACATTACCCAGAATCCCTCACCTCTCCAGTCAGCAGGTAGATGATCTCCTGGCTGACATTACCCAGAATCCCTCACCTCTCCAGCCAGCAGGTAGATGATCTCCATAATGACATTGACCAGAATCCCTCACCTCTCCAGTCAGCAGGTAGATGATCTCCAGGGTTAGATCCAAGATCTTCTCAGTCACCCGATTCCCCTTCTTGTTCATTATCAAAGATTGTATATATTCAGTTTAATTTCTAGATAAATATAAAAAAAAAAAAAAATGAAAAATATATATCAGTAAATTCCTTAGTGAAATATCTGGTCATTATGCAGTAAGAGGGACAGGAGTGAGGGACTGTGGTTAATTTGCGTCACTGTCATCGTACACAATATGAAGTCATTTGACAACATAAAATAAGTTTCACTCCAGGCACATTTCATTCAATTTCCAGTGAAAGTAACAACCTGGAATATTAACAAATAGGGAGAGATTTATCAAAGTGTTCCATTCTAAAAACTGGCGCAAAGAACGTAAAAGGGGAAAATTCACTGGTGGAACGTGTTACGTCCTGTGGCCACTCCTCAGATAGCCACTGGATGTGCTTCCCTAGGCAGTATTGACATTCAGCTGAATGTTTCTCATAGAGATGCATATTCAATGCATCTCTATGAGGAGGAGCTGATTGGCCAAAAGGGTGTTTGGCCCCGCCCCATCCCAATTAAACGCTTTTCCTTTGGCAGGGATTCCCAATTCGTGGTATGCATACCCCCAGGCCTGCAATTCAGTGCCCCTGGATTACACAAAAAACTTTGGGCAATTGCGGCGGGGCACGTTGCCGCATGGGCTGGGAACCGCTGGCTGAGTCTAGGTGGCCAATGCACTTTGGGTCACCCAATACACATATATGTGTTTTTGTGTATCTGTATGTGTCTGTGCATCAGTGTATTTGTCTGTGGGAGAGCAGAGGCGAGAAGCCAGGGGAGAGCGGATGCGGCCGGCCAGCCGTGGGAGAGCAGAGGTGGACGGCAGGGCGGACAGGCGACAGCAGCCCCACTGGAACCCATGGAAAGCCTATCCACTCCAGCTCTCAAAAAGGTAGGGAGGCTGAGTGGGTTTCAATCAAAATAACTTAAAAAAAAATAATCAACTTCTGAGTGTATGTCTGCGAGTTTGTGGCCATGCTTGTCTGTTATGAGATCTGAAATGCAGTATGTGAATATATTGATATCTAATTATTATATAATGTAAAGATATATATCATACACTGTGTACGTACGCAGATATTAATGAGATCTGACCTGCAGTATGTGAATATATTGATAGATATATATATATATATATATATATATATATGTGTGTGTGTGTGTGTGTAGAAAGGCCATTAGGCCTGAATTTGTGGGAGGAGTAAGTCCCCTACTTAAACTCCCAGCCCCTACTCACCTCTGCCGATCCAGTTGATTGTCTCCTAGCAACCAGCACTTCCGGTCTGAGCTTCCCGCCAAACAGCTCCAGTCTCCAGCAGCAGAAGTGTGGAGCCGAAATTCTCCGGCCATTCTGCAGTCTGCCACCCGTCTTCTCCCCGGTCGCGGTACTTGGCTTCCGGTCACAAGACCGGCACTCTCACGTAAGCTAGTGAGGCAAATAGCGTTCGGCTATTTCCCTCCGTTCGGGCCTAAAAACTTAGGGGTAGGCGCCCTTTTTCTTTTACATTACCCGTTCACGCGATTAAATTAGTCGAATGCCGGCTATACTTATGTTTCATGGGTCCTTCGTATGGTCCAAACTGCCGACCTTCATTCAGGTAAAACTCTGGGGCAATTTGTTACAATTTTGATATACCATTCGTTCATACGAATGAACTATGTACATGTATACTTACCCGTTCAGACATTTAGAGATTTGCGCAATATTCTGTCCATCCCTCGTATACTTACTCGATTCATGCAATAATTCTATTTGTGCAGAATCAGACGAATGCACACTATACTTAAATTAAACAGGTCCCCCGCACGGTCTAAAATTACCAATCTCTGTTCATGCAAATACTAGCATTTCGTGCACACGAACTACATAGAAAACACATTATATATACTTCCCATTCGGTTATTTAACTGTTTGAATGAAACCTGTCAGTTTGAGTTGTTAAATCCGTTTATTACTTCAACCATTTACCAAACCTGTGGTTCCCGGTTTAACTAGGTTTAAAATATTAAAACCTCAGTTTATATCACTTTATCTTAGTACTCGGTAATTTATTCCTACGCCTACGGAATTAAACTATGTTTTGAGGTTCATTAATCAACTAAATAAAATCCCCAACACCCAACTAAATTGGCAGAATTCTTCTACTCCACGCCAATCCTGTACAACATTACAAACATATATTAATTAATAACACGATCCTCAGGTTATACTGGTAAACCATTTTATTTCGCTATAGTCTCTCCTTCGTTTATGCAGTCATTAAATTTAGCCTCTGTTACATTTCTTTGGCTCCACAGATCGCCTCGTTTGTCTTTGTATTTCTGCATAAAGTTATCAAATTCAAGTCCTTGTATTTACAAATCCAGGTATAGTATTTACTCATTTCAGTTTCAACCATGTCAAGGCCTCAAGCAGCATGCACTCTGTAACGAACCGTTTTGCCCACAAGCGGTTAAAAACCATTTAGGCGATGTTCCCCTTTCAGATGCACAGACAGCTACTGCAATCACCAATCTCCCGAACTGCAAACTACACGAATTCTCCAACTCCCGAACAGGAAACTCACGAATACTGTAAACAGTTGAACAAGAAAAACCATACGAAAGGTTTACACTCCTGGCAGTCAGCATACAATCCAATTCCCCCAATAACGAGACGACACTTCGTTTGAGGGTTAAGCAGAATCTGCCAGAGCTGTGGGTTTATTGTTCTTATGTACACATTCTTACACATTAGTACCACCACAGGGTTTTGGATAACAACCAATAAACATGTACAATACACTCAGACACTCCCACACAAAATCCTCCCCTCTGCCTGTGATACAATTACCTTTCACAATGGGTATGTAATTATCACAGCCAGAAAAATACAGTTTTTCCACATTATTCATAACTTGAAAAGTATGCATCACATTCACATAAAACTTACATTTTCAGAATCAGCATACTCCATATACAAACATATCCAAATTGGTCCAATGATTCAAAAGATAGATCGAAGTCCTTTGTGACCAAATGAAGCATGGCTTTTCTTCCCAAAACCAGTTCCACAGAGTCTTCTATCCTGGAGATAATTGGGAAGTAATCCAATTATCTCCAAGGACAGAGGCAAAACTCCATTGAACACATGGCAGCAAAAGACAATAAAACACATAAAAACATATAACTGTGCAGCCATTGCACAAAACAGGTACATTCAACATATCCCCAGATAGCTCAGATCTGAACACACATTATTATTGAATGGCGCTCAGAGCACACACATACAGATCAATTGCCATGGAGCCATAGTCTTTCGGTATACGAATGGGCTCCATGGCTTAGCTATCTGTTTCGTGGTGGAACACTGCTCACATAGGGAAAATAAAAGGTTTTTAATGCAGGGCCATAGTCTAAAGGGAGCAGGCGAGCAACCAGGCTTCTCCGTGTACAGTGGCGAGGTTGGTTTCGCCACACACTCTAAACTTGCCAGTGTTATTCTAGGCCTCCTCCGGTTTCTCCATAAAAAAACACTTACGCTCATCCAAGCACCTATACAACAAATCAAGGTATAGTTCTCTACTCATCATGGGACATTTCATACAAGACCTAACGCGGTCTCTATTTATTATGATTAGCTCACGGTCCTACGCCCTTGTTGTGTTAAATTCTCTACATTTTTTCTTCTTAGGCCTACGGTCATACTGCCTTCAGGCAAGAAACTACCCAACCTACTTAACCTGATTAATTTAAAATCTCCTGATTGGATATTATATCCACCTTCTCTATTTTATTTTACTTTATAATATACTTTATTCTTCTCTAGTTGCAGCAGCACAATTTTGTGTTTTAATTAATGTTGATTGTCAATTTTATACAATTATGTCTATTTTTATTATTATTCTTTTTGCTAGTAACTTTTATGTTATGAATTTTTGTATTGTTAAGAATACATGGACAAAAGAATATCAGACTGTGTATAATTCCAAAGAGGAGATGTGTCATGTATCTAATATGTTTTAGAATATATGACTATTTTTACTAATTTGGCAAGACTGTATTTAAAGACTGCCACTTACAGCCGTTACACTATCTTGAAAAAGCCCGAGAGAACGGGCGAAACGCGTTGAAGTGCCAACGGATGCAGAGGTTTTGATGACGACAGCCTGTTTTTGAACTTACCACACACAGACACGGTCAGCCTGTATGCTACACTCCACCCCCTCAGCGCTGAGATCGGGCGGGAGTTTTGAACCATCAGGACCAGTGGACGGTAAAACGGCTATTCATACCTCTGATTCTGTGAAAACCTGATTGTGATATCTTGGAGACAAGTATCACTATTTGCTAATTTAAGAGTCCATATTTGGGGGAAAGGGGATCTCTTTTTATTATTAAAGCAGTTTTACACTATGCAAAGCCTTTTTTTGTATCCTTTTAAGGTATAATCTACAAAAGTGCTTCAGTGTATCCACGGATGTTACCATTTCAACTGCAACAAAGGATTAACCCTTAAAAGACTCCAACCCAAAGAAACTTTTGGACTCTTTTTTGCAAACTTTTAATATATATTTTTGTGTGTATAATTCAACTTACTGTGATATATAGGTGTTGTTTAGATATCATTTACCTATAGAGAGAAGTTGTTTATCTTTTCCACACATATATAGATTGCCTCAATAGAAGGCTTTTGCACATAGCGCTGGCACTTTGTTATTATATGCTACTTAACCTGATACCCAGCTACACTACCAGGTACTTACGTTCTTACTAGTTACTGGCACTTGCTACCCCTAAGGCCTCAATTAGCCTCCCTCTATAGCATAAACTCGTCCCAGTCTCAGACTAATCATTCAGATCCCTCACCTCAGGATCTCATGTTACGCTCCTATAGCCAACCCCTACTACTAAACATACGCCCCTACGTTACGCTCAAACACATCAACATTGGTCTTAACCCTTAGGCTTCTTCTACAATACCAGCAGCGGCCAAGCCACTCTACTTAAAAAAACACTCGAAGGTTCATGTTTCCGGTT